CAAGTATTTGTTGAACACATATCACATATCAGAAAGTATGCCAGCCACTGGAGGTAAAGATGAACAAGGATTAATCTCCAACCTCATATCATTTACAATTTATAAGACATATAAGAATATAAGTGAATACATTGTTAATCAGGTTATTCATAAATTGTATAAATGAGAAATAATGACATAAAAGGATTTTTTTTTTTTTAGAATGAGTCTAAAAAGTAACATTTGAAAGTCTGTCTAAATTTCTCCTGAGTATATCTTTTAAATTTTTTTAGGGTATAAGAATACTATGTATGTTAGTTTTCATTTACCTTGAAAAGTTCATTTCTTTCTAAAAGTTGGTTTATTGTACAGATCAGATCTAACCAATTTTTATTTAAAAATATTATTTTGATCATTTAAGATGGTACTTCTGTTATCTGCCTTTTGTTGATAATAATGTCAGAAGTTATTTTGAATAACTAACCCAGTTGTTAACCTTTAGAAATAGCATGACTACATGCTATTTTCTTATCAAATTATTATAGTAATGTCACTCGAAATAATATTTTCATGGATTAAATTTTACTTAATGGATTTTTCCTTCTTTAGAAACCAGCTTTTATTGATAATAATGAAATTCAGTGCCACTAATACCAAAAATTAACTACATATAATGAAGAATTATCCAAGTAGGTTATAAATTAGGCAAAATGAGGAAAATATTATGCTTTAGATTAACCATTAGACATGTTGGACTTATTTGATATAAAAGTATGAGTTTTCAAGGCAATGGGAAGAAAATCAGATATTTCAGAATGTGGGGACTTAACTGTAACCAATCAAACATGTTAAACCTTAAAACTTCTGGAGAATCAAGACTTTACATCAGACACCCAGGGGAAGTAAAGATGATCAATACCATCATTTTATTGCAAAAGAAATCCTTGCTCAAATAGTTGGGATGGAGAGGACAGGGTATTCAAACCAAAATTAGATCAAGTTTATAGTAACTATTTTAATAAACTATAGAAGTATAATTTGTATAAGAATCATGAAATAGCAATTATATTTCAGATAATACGTTTATGTAACCTTTTCAGAAAAAGTTATAGAAAGATGGCATGGTTCTGCTATGAGTTCTGTTTAACCTTTTTTTGCTGATTCTCTCAATGCCAGTTATTTAACCATTAAGGAGAGTGAGCAGTGACATAGATGATATATATTTTTCATCTATTTAGCAAGTATATTTTAGTCTACTATATGCCAAATAGACAGTGTTCTAGATTTTAGAAAACATTGATGAATAAAACAAATTTCATGCTCTCATTGAATACACATTGTAAAGAAGGAATTGAGTATAAAAAAAAATAATAATATATATAAGAATTTCCCTTGTTTTTATGATTACTATTATCAGTGGTGTTGATGATAGTAGTAGTAGTGTATTTATGGTATGCCTGACTGAAAGAGTGGCAGAAAATGACCTCTCCTCATTTAACAGGCTATAACTCATTCTGCACACTTGACCTGCTTACTGTTCCTTGAGCATATCAAACATGTGTTCCTGCCCTAGGGCCTTTGCACTGGCCAGCTTCTTTTCCTGGGACATTATTTTCCTAAATAGCTTCCCTCATCTCTTTCATATATCTCCTTCTCAATGAATGTTACCCTGGTCATCCTATCTTAAACAGCAATTCAATGTCCTCATACCCCAATGCTGAATTCTCCTTACCCTGCTCTGCCTCTGATCCCATAGCAATTATCACCTCCAACCTACTATATAATTTATTATTTTAATTTTTGTCTGTCTCTGCCTAATAGAGTATAAGCTCTGTAAGGTCAGAGATCTTAATCTGAATTGTTTATTAGATTAGTCCAAACACCTAGAAAAGAACTAGCACAGAGTAGGCATTCAATAAATATTTATCCAATGAGAAGAGGTTGGGTAGAATTGGGGGTAAAGATGTGACATGAGATGGTGTGAGTTTTAAAGGAGTTATTGGCTGCTGTGTGGAGAGTAGTTAAGGGGTCCTGGGGTGCCGTTGAAATAGGGTTGCCGCTGAGAGAGCGACTGTATTATCATTGGGTGAAACCATGTGATGAGTGGTGGTGGGGGAGGTAGAAAGTGGTAGGATACATCACATATGAAAATTGTATGCCATAAAAAAATTATAATAAAGTCGGGGGCTAAATAATACTGTTGAAGTTTTATAATTACATCAGTAAATGGTGAATGTCACCTAAGCACCTCATACATGATTTCAGTAACAACAGAGCCTAACAGATATCACATGCCCAAATGTAAAATTATTTTCATTCTCATAGTAATAATTTACATTAAAATATGGTAGAAAGCATAAAAATAGAAAATGTATTTGTCTTTTTCATGAATAATCTGACAGAGAGATGAAAATATATCTTCAAAGAATAAACATGACATGTCATTTTTTCAAAGTGGTTTTTGATATTTCTTGATGCATTTAAAATAGATTGAATTTTTAAACAAATATACAATTCAATAGTTAAAGCAACCACAAAATACTGATGTGCGTCTCTTTAAAAAGAATTTCATTGCAGTCCATACTGTTCTTTTATAAGGAATGTGGTCGTAGTTTTATATTGATGTTGATTAAAATGTTTATATTGATGTTGATTAAACCCAGCATCACTGCCCCACTGGAAGGAGGCCGTCTGAAACTTGAGCCAATAACCCAGAACTCAGGAGGAACCACTTATCGACAACAATCATAACATTTCCAAAGTGTACCAGAATCATGCATACATTAACAAACAAATGCCTTAGAATCAAACCCCAGAGCTAATTTACTCAAATATTAGACAAAATTCTAACAAGCTTGTTAATGTGGTTTATCAGCCTTTGGAATAAAAAAAGTAACAAAGTAGATGCGCAGGTAAATTATTAGAGAGAGTCCCAGTGGCTGTGGCAAAAAGAGAAAACCATGATTTTTGAGGGAGGAAAAAATTATATTTGTGTCTATGAAAAAATGTATATAGTCAAAAACTAAAAATACTTAAAAGCCCTAGTACTCTGGAGTTGTTTTGCCTTACCAACTCAATAGCCTCTGAAAGTCTTGCCACATAACTGCACAGGGTGCTAATCAAGTTTCCTAACTAAGATACAGACTGTTAAACATGGTTCAGTTATGTTCAGTATACATGGGTGTGAATGGCAATGGAGTGTCTAATGCATTTTAGAAAGATTTCTTTGAGAAATAATTCAAGTTTAAATGGTCTTGCAATTGCAGTACTTCCAAATTTAGTTATGTAAAAAATTTTGTCCATTTTAATAATACATTGCTTGAAGATGCCAGGTAAATGAATTTTTCTAGGTCATAACTTTTAACTCTAAAGTTAAAACTACGTATTCTAAGAAAAGCTGAAACTCTTTGAATACTGCAGGCAGTTATGTTTAATGACTGGTGCTTACTACTTCTTAAATGCAAAAAAAATCAAACCCTCAGTCTTAAGAGAGTGAACAGTAACAGAAGATAAAACCACTGTGTGCTCAGCTCGCTGTGGGAAGTACTGCAGGGTCAGTGGCCTGCGACTTTAGGCACTGCAAAAATTTTGACTCAAATCCAGCCTTACACTCTGTAATTAGAAAGACATTGCTTCTTTCAGCTTCCAGCCAAGCCACTATGCTTGTGGTCTGTTTTATGAGGTTCTCAATGCAATTTGCACAGCTATCTCTCATATCAGATGCTGTGGTGGTGGGGTGGGGTGGCAGGGGGAGGGGGCGGGGCAGATATGGACCTCTGTCGATTCTAACGCAGGCAATAGACAAGGAGACACTGACAGTAACTTTCAACTAACTAGTCTTATTTTTTCAAGGAGTATCTTTAGACTACTATATATAAGGCATTTCTGTAAAAATGAAAACACTCCAATAACAAATATTTTTTAAACTACAAACTATGACAGACATTGATTTTTTAGTGTTCAATGGGATGCAGGAAGACCATCCCAGGTCTTCCAGGGGCCCGTGCGCCTGCCCAAATTATGTGCCAAACTCTGTCTCCATCCATTTTTCCAAGGAAAGCATACAAAGTTTTCATTCCATTTTTAAAGTGTCTACAACACACCCCTTCAAAAATATTTTTTTCAAAAGACTCAAACCACTATTTTCAACTATAATACAAGTATAGGAAAATGTTCACCATATTTCCCATCCATTTTTAAGGACGAGAGTCCACATAATCTCAGCACTTCTCTTTCTTCAACACTTAGTGAAATATTATCCAGATGGCCTAAGCCTTAAATTCAGTTTGGAACAATGGATAAATTACAGGCTTTGAAAACAGACTTCTTGGATTCAAATTCTGACTCAGCCACTAACTAGTTGGTGAGCTCAGTTACATTAGTTAACCCCTCAGAGCCTCAGTTTCCTTATCTGAAAAATGGGACCGATCTTTGTACTTTCCACCTAGGGATGAAGTAAAATGCTCAGCATAGTTCCAGATCATGACCCTGACTTTAAGTAGTTCATCAGCATTACTTTTAATGTGTTTTATGGAGCCACTAATAAAATCCTTAACTTGGCGTATTTTTTATAATATAAATAATCAGCTATTGGTATTTTGCTACAGGAAAAATTATCACATTTTTAACTCGCTTTTATTAATCATTATCAATATTCAAACCTGAGACATCTGTAATGTGATGCTTTATGTCTGAATTCATTGTTTTTCTAAAGTTTTTACATGTGGTCATTTTCACATTGTGATTTTGTTTGTTTATTTGTTTGTTTTTAACCCTGTGATTAAAGGACAAATCTAAGCTGTTGATTAATGCACAATATAACCATTAAAACATTATACCAATTTTTAGGCTGCCATATAGAATTTAAAAAGTATTTTTAAAAATGTAAATAAATGTCTTAGGTTTATATGCCAAGGAAATATAAAACACATAGTTTTGTGGGCTATTTCTCTTTCCTTATGAGGACAAGAACTATAAGATAACTAACAAATTTGTTTTAAATGTTGCTCTTTTTTCCACAGCTCTTGTAGTGAGATTTCTGACCAAACGGTTCATCTGGGAATATGATCCCACCCTCGGTAGGTCAAATTTTGTTTCCTCCTTCTCTCCAGTCCAAGTTTATGCCCCGTAAGAGAGAATGTCATTTTCTTTTGCAATGTTTTTAAGCACCTTGTAGATGTTTTGGAATTGCTTTATCAAATTATGCAAAGAATTCCTCTAAGAAGCTAGATGTGTGTTGCATGCTGTCAGTGCTTAGACTCCTGAAGGATTTCAATGCATAAATGAAGAAATCAAGTCTAACCAGAGACAAGAAGAAAGTAGAAATATAGCATCACTCTAATGGGGGAAAGGATGTAGTGAGCATGGCTAGTTTGATGTGAGATAGAATGTTTTGCTGAGGAGAGTATAACAATAAAATAAAACTTGCAAATAATGAATCTGACTTAAGCCTATTTAAAAATACAGTATTTATTAGAAATATATTTAGTTATCATCTTCAAAATAACACTGAAAATCCATGAGCTCTAAATTAAGCTTCAGATTTTGCATTTTTTTCAAGTATATTTGATCTGCAGTTGGTTGAATCGGAGGCTGCAGAACCTGCAGGTACAAAAGGCTGACTATATACTGGATCATTTACACTAAGACGCAGTTCTAGGCTTGCTTTTTATATCCTACACCAGTACTATACTCTTTTGATAATTGTATGCTCTTTAGAACACGTTGATATCCAATAGGGAAACTCTTCCTTCTTTACTTTTTTACAAAATTATCTTGGCTACTATCTGCAGTTTATTCTTCCAGGTCAGGTTTTAAAACTCTCTCATAACATGACATAATTTTGATTGGAATTGCATTAAAACTATAAATTACTTTGAAAAGATTCACATATTTATGATATGCAACCTTTTAATCTAAGAGAATAGCACAGCTCAACATTTATTAATTTTTATTTCTGTTTTTGCTTTTAAGTAAATTGTTTTTCAACATCAATAATTTTGAACATATTTTTAATATAGCCACAATCTAATCTTAAGATGATGTATTTGGATCTAAAAATGAATTTGGTTTAAGAAAATCATTTATTATCTATTCTTTATTCCACCCAAGTTCTTACTCCTCATATATTTTTATTTTTTATATAAGCTTTACAAAATTCCTGAGATTTATAATGATTTATGACAGTTCAGTAGAAAAATACTAATTTTATTTAGTTATACCAGTACATCTCAATGAAAGATGAAGCTTATAAAATTTGCTCTCATAAAAATTTTGAACTCTCTGAATATGTTCCAGTAACTAATGTTACTATTTAATGTGTGAAGCGAACCCGTTTTTCTTTTGTTTTATTCATTCTAAAAAACAATTGCTGTTAGTAGAAGTTTGCTTGCATCAGTTATCTGTTTTGCCGGCTTCCTTCACTAAGAATAATGAAACTTTATTGAGTCACCTTGTACTGTACCACTCAAAAGAGATTGCAACTGTTAAGCAACAAGAACGTTGATCGGACTTCAGGAATACCAGCTATGTGACTCAGTCCCAGGCAAAGGTTTCATTAACTCACGCAAGAACCTGGATTTGTGTGTGCATATGTTTGTGCAGAGTGCGTGTCTGTGCATGCTCTCACGTGTGCTAGAAGTCACTAATGTTCTAGCATAGAGGAGTTCCCAATCCATTTAATCCAAGAGCAGTTGGCATTTTTTGAACTTCATACTATCATAGAGTTTCAAATCTACCATCAAAAGGGAAAGCTACATTAAAAAGCAAAGTGGAATATTTGCAAAAAGTAGTCTCGAATTCTGAATTCAGTGCCTTAGAAATATGGGGCAGTTTTTTCAACCTGTAATGAAATTATTGCTCCATGAGAAGTTGAAGACCATGAGCACCATTCAACATATTAATAAAAATTAGAATATTTACTGCTCTGAAATAATTTTATGAAGGAAATGCTTGCGACTATAGCTGCAAATGATTCCTAAACTTTTAAATTTCAGGTCCCAATATTTTTGGTTTTGCTTTTGCTTTAGTGTTGTTTGTTGTTGTTATTGTTGTTGTTTGTTTGTTTTTATGGAGGTATAATATAGGAATTACAATTAGGGATGTAAGCAAGGGGCAAAGGGTAAGGAAGAGCTAAACGTACTCACTCTACAGGCACTTGCATTTCATAAGAGAAGGAAATATTTTTAACATTTAAGAATTTTGAAGGACATAATCTAAGAAAAAAGTTCAATCATTTACAATGAAGTTTTAGTTTTCCTTAATTTTTTTTTCATTTCACCGTGGACCAGTAAAATCTTTGTAAAAGGCCAGAGCTAGTCTATGGATAGCAGTTGAAAATCATCTCTGCAGCGTATAAGATTTGGGACTTAAGTGATCTAACCAGGAAAACCCCTTGAGGGTGGTGGCAGTAATATTCAGGCTGCAGGACAACAGGATCCATGTTCTGATTAGATCTCAGAAGAGAACCAGATCTCTGTAAGACTCACATTACCCTCTGAAAATGCTGATCATGGCGGAAAATACAGATAAAAGCTTAGATCATGTGCAGTTGTGTGTGTGTGTGTGTGCATGTGCATGTGTGTGTGCATGTGCATGTGTGTTGGCATTTAGAGAGAGAGACTGCATTTCAGCACCTATCACTGCTAATACCACTTAGGAAAGACTCAGACAGATGTGATGGTAGGAACTGGGAGATATACTGGACCCAACAATGCTTTTATTTTGTGATTGGTTTTTCCCATCTGTATTACATACAGTTCCCTCTTCTTAGAAAGGATCATACAAGAGGACACACCCAGAACGAACTCTGCCAACTGGATACAAAAGCAGAAGTGCTTAACTAACTCAAAAAACTATTAATATTGGCCCAGCAAGGAACTTTGAGATCACTTGACAAATAAGAAAACAAGTCCAACAAAGTAAATTTATCCACAATTATGTGGCTAGTCTGTGGTTAGACCAGCAATAAAACTCAAGTCAGTACAATTTCAAATCTAGCGTAAATCAACATTACTAAGTGCTGTTGTTACTGTATTGGCCAAACGTCCATATTAATGTGTTGAAATATGCAAAGAAAGCTGAATTAGTGAAAGGATTAACCATATACAACATCCCTTTGAACATCAACTTCTCTTAGAGTGTACAAAATATATATCTATTTATAAAATGTTACTGAATGTAGGTTGTAAATCACATGTCTCATATACAGTGAAATTTAGGTATAATTTTTAATATGCCTGATGCCATCTTGACACTAATATTGGTCTTGCATATAACATTTTATTTCATTTACAAGTATCTCTTAATCATCTCCCTATCCTTTATAAAAAAGACTCAAAATGACCATTTTCTGGTAGCATGAACAAAATGAAAAGCATTTCTACCCTCCAAACACATACACATTTTCTCCAATGTTTTTACATGAATAGCAGAGTTTAGTTCCAAAAAGTACATTTTTTTAGAATTATCTTTAGAAAAGCTAACACATGGATGTACAACATTTTGCCTCTGTAGGCAACACTTCCATGGTTTTACATGTAGTCAAGGGTTCCTAATGAGGGAGAGAAGAGACTCAAAAGAAAAAAAAAATGCTCAGAATGGCATTCAACCAGTACTTAGCTTAGATGAAATCACTGCTGCCACCCGAGGCCATGTCTGTGGCAGACATTCCCTCATTTCCTGCATTTCATTGTTTTCATTTCAGTTAACGAATAGCCAACGAATCACACAACTTCATGCAATTTTCATTATATTCTGTTTTCTTCTACTGTGGTCTTCTGTGGTTGAAATACATATCCTATTTATCATGGAAGCAACAGAGAAAAATGTCCCTGTCTGTCAGACTTTGGGTGCAAAGAGATGGAATAGAGCCCAGAACTCTGTTTTCCAGGCTCCAGAGCTGATGATGCCAGTCCCTTCAAAAGGGAAAACAGCATAAAGGCCACTTCAGAACAGTGGCAGGACAAACAAAAAGGACATGGATTCTAGCATGTGTCCTGCTGTCTGGGCCTCTCCTCCTCAAGCTGGAACTCGGAAGATGAAAAAAGAAATAAATGAGAGAACACTTTTAGATGAGTAGTTTCTGTAAATGGTATTTTAGAGCATTAAATCACACAAAACAATAATCTCCCATTTAACATAAAAGAGTAATGGATGGAATGTTCTAGAATTGAGAATCGTTGTACACACCAGATATGGATTACATATTTCAGGAAAAAGACAATAATGTAAAATACACTTGTTTGAACATTGAACATAATGTCATATTTTTAATTTTAATTTTCAGAAAATACTGCAGCAATGTGCCATGCCTGTGGCAATGATTATTATACAGTGTTGATGACAGGTAGTAAGTTATGCTCTTAGTTAAGCCTCCTTTCTGCAATTTGTATTTTGAGTAGATTATATTTACAGCAAAGTACATAAAGCTGTAGTCAAAAAAGAACTGTAAAATAGTTGATGAGATGAAAAAATGAAAGTCAGAAACATGACATAGATAGGAAAAAATAAAAGCATGGGCTTACTGGTTACCCTGATGGGAGAGGAACTTCTAGGTTTATTTGATTTGTTTATTGGTTAGTGATTTGAGTAGTTTAGGTGCAAATAATTGAGTTAACTGAGTTAATACTTAGGTTAATCATATTACTGCGGCACCATGTCATGTATGTGAAGACTTTATTTCACTTTATTTTTCCTGCATCCTCTATTCTGACACCATAGCCCTCCTCTTTCTGATTGGTATTTAATGTAATGTGTTTGATATTTACCATAGTGGTTAAAAGCCTAAAATCCTAAAGCCAATCTCAACTCTACCGCTGTGTGATCTTGGACAAGTTATTTAATGCTGTCATGCCTCAGTTTCCTCATATAAAATGGAGCTAATGGTAATTCATACTTCATGAGATATTTGTGAAGATTGAGTTAATATGAGTAACACATTTAGAACAATTCTTGTTAAAATGGTAAGCAGTATACACTAGCTGATATATATAAATTTTTGAAAAGCATTTTTTCTGTGTACGCATATATTTTAAATTTGTATACATTTTATCTTACTATACATCTGCCTGTAGAGCTAATCATGTGATTATTTTCCCCTCTTTAGTACCTTAATGTGTTAAATTGAACTGACAGACTTTACTCTTTGCATTTCTGGAATACACTCTACTTGATCATGATGCACTTTTCTTATTACAACTGTTGGATTCAATTGAATAATATTTTATTTAGAAGTTTTGAATCTATGTTTAAGAATGAAATGAGCCTACAACCTTCTTTTCATTTTTCTCTTATTACTCTTGTAATACTTCTTATTAGAGTCAGCATAATGTCTCATAAAAAGAATTGAGTACCTATCCTTTTTCTATTTTCTAAAAAACCTTTTTTAATGATTAATAGAAATCTCCTGGAGAGTCAATTGGATACAGTTGCATTTTATAATTAGGAGATATCTACAATTAGCATGTAAATGCATCTACTGGCTATGATCTAGTTAAGTGTTCTATTTCTTATTGCTCCGATCTATGCATTTTTTTTCTCCCAGAATTTATCAGAGTTTGAAATATGTTTGTATACAGTTCACAATATTTTATTTTTATTTCATCAAAATACATAGTTATGTCTTCTTTTTATGCTAAATTTTGTTTGATCACACCTTCTCTCTTAAATTACTGGTTAGTATTGCTAGATTTTTATATCTCTCCCTACCTTTATATTAATCTTTTCAAGCATCATGCTTTGTTTTGGTTAACCTTACTTAATTTCTCTTGTTTTCTCCTTTACTTCTGTCCTCCTATCCTCTTGGATATATTCTATTTTTCTCTTCTAATTTGTTGAGTTCAATACTTAGCTCTCTTTTTTTTCCTCCTTTTTTATTATCATGTCATCTCCTAGAATAAGACAAATTCATTATAACCTGCCTCTGGTCTCTTCCTCCACCTCCTCCATGATATGTTGGTATTATCTAGAATTATTATTCTGGATTGCTTTAGATGTAGTTTTATTCATTGGCTTCACTCCATTGGGATCTTGAATTCAGTTTTGTGAGAGTAATGCCCTTTGTAAATGACATGATTTTTCTTTAGATCTTTTTAAATTTTTCTCTTTGTCATTGCTATCCTCGCGTTTTGCTGTAATGGGTTGAGACATGGGACTTTTTTTCTCGTGTGTCCTTTTAGTCCTTTAGATCTGAAGTTTTTCAATGCCTCTCATCCTGGGAAATTCTCAGTTATTACAACCTCAAATGTTTTCACTTCTTTATGTATTTTACTCTCTTTGAGGCTCGTTTTATAAGAGATCATAACATGTCTATTTCTTTTATCTATACCTCTTATATTTTACTTTTACGTATTCCTTCTTATCATTTACTGATACCTTCTGGGAGAGTTCCTCAATGTGACCTTCATCAACTCAGTCAATCATTTGTTGAATTCTTTTCAGTCATTTTAGTTTTCATACAGAATGGCACCAATTGGTATTTATTTTAACCTCTGGTTTCCATTTCATGTGCTGAGGGCACCACTCAGAGCCACCCAAGCTCTTACACCTGCTAACTGCTCACTCCAGTGAAACTTGGGGACCACTCTGATATCTTCCAATCTCCAGCTAGTACTGGGCTATCATCATTTATCTACCTTGAAGAGGCAACATGAGCAAAAGAACTCTGCTTTGTTTTATGCCCGATCTATGCTGCCCAGCCCTCCTCTACTTTTCTCACCAACCCCCAAAGACTGGGGTCCAACCACCCTCTCCTGCCACAAGGGTTTCTCATAGCTTTACATGCTCATTTTTCACATGGATAGCCCTCCACCTCTTTCTAGTGTCTATTACATTTGCAGGGTTGAGGTCTGGAAAGAAATTAGCAGCTCCTGCTTATGTGTCATTTTGTCAAGAATGGTAATTAACAATGATTTCCAGAAACTGAATTTTTAGGAGTATCAAGGTAGAATGCATTTTTGTAGGAATCGCTTTCTCATTTTAGGATGTGGAGGCCTCATTTTAGAAGGAAGAGACCATCAGGAAGCTGACTTCATAGGAGAATAAAATGAGCAAAGAGACCGTCCCATACTAGACCCTGAAAATCTGTGGCTCTCATTTTAAAACCTGTTACTTACGGGGGCTCTAAGAATACAAAGACGGCACATACTTGCACATCCATCCATTCCTTCCTAGTGTGCACATTCCCTTATGCTACAAAATTAGACATACTCCTGTGACTAATTTGTAATTTTAAGGAGCAAATCAAACCATTCACTTGTTTACCTTTTTATCTTCTTTTTTTGCTCATTTTTTCAGAATCAACCTACCGACACCAAGCAACCATCGATGATGAAGTTGTCACCATGGAGATACTAGATACTGCTGGTCAGGTGAATAAGGAGTTAAACTGAAAAATTTTCTGGATCAAATAAAAATGAGATCTGCATAATATCAACAAAGGACACTTTTCTACAACTAACTCATGATGCCTAAAGACTTTTCTCTTTAATTATCTAAATATTTATATATAACATATTTGCAACAACCGGTGTATACATCCTTATATAAAATACCAAGTACTCTAATAGGGTTTTGAGAATGTCCTAACATTCACTTAATATCATTTAGAATACAGTGCCCACTTATATTTACAGGGGATCACAAGACATTAATAGATTTTCATGGTTAAAAATGTTTTATAATGCTTTGATAAAGTTGAACAGGTATATTTACTGGAAAATTTCTTGGAGCCTTTAATATGCTTATGTGTAAGGTGAATCCTTAAGGGATTTAGTATATATTATGTTCCAAACTTATATGACCTCAGAATTTTTTTTCAGAATACTTTAAGAATCTCTCCTGTAATATTCTTTCTGAACTTCACTTCATCCTATTGAAAACTTGAACCATATCAGTGAACAATAACAATTTATTTAAAGAGGAAACTACTATAAATTTGCTTTGAGTTCTATCAGTTCTGTGATTACAAATGGGTTCATAGATAGGTTTAGTTCTCAAGGATAGGAATGACCACTAGGACCAAGAATTAGGAAGCTGAAGGATTCCATGGTGCTTTTCAGTGACTTATGACCCCCAAGAAAACTTAAATTAGAGTATTTAATCCAAGAAATGTTCTCGTAACTAATTATACACTTTTCTTTCTCATCACCACCTCTTTCCTATATATGGTCTCACCTTCTACCCAAAACTGGTTCTAGAAAAAGACAGCAGGGAAATACTCACTTGCAGACTTAATGTGAGCCCGTGAAGGCAATGCATTTTCAAATCACACATGCTACCTTCCTAGGAAGGAGTGATCACTCCCTTTGAAAATCACTTCAAAAGAATTTCTGTTATTACTAGGACTGCATAATACTTTGGGAGTGTTGAGATGGGGGCGGGGGGAGCCAAAAACCTCTAGCTTTAAGTTTGACACTCTATATAATTTTTCACTGTTTTCCTGGTGGCTAATTGTCTATAATCTGAAGAGAGAGGAGATTAAAACAAAAATAAAGGAATGAATGAATGAATGAATGAATAAAATCTAAACCATTTTACTAAACTGTGCCCATAATTCTGATCTCTAAGGGGTAGAGTAAGGTCTACTTGTCTGTTAGCTGTTTGCCAATTCTTTAATTATGATGAAACATCTCAGAGGCAATGTGCTCAGCTAAGATGATAATTTCTCTGTAGTTCTTGTGATTCAAGATTTAATGATGAGGCAAGAAAAAATTTAAAGCAGAAAGTTAAGGACCATGCAGTTAGAAAATTTTTAGTTCCCTAAAATATTTTGCTCTTCCAAACCAATTGAAAGGTAAACTTGTACAGGCAGATTATCAAGAGATTTTAATGACATTGAATATAAGGAATAGTATTTAAGGGATCACTATTAGCATTAGCAGCGTCTATACATTGAGACTACTTCCAGGTCTTCGACTGTCATTTTTTTTCTTGCCCACAGGAAGACACCATTCAGAGGGAAGGACACATGCGATGGGGGGAAGGCTTTGTGCTGGTCTATGACATTACTGACCGAGGAAGTTTTGAGGAAGTGCTGCCACTTAAGAACATCCTGGATGAGATTAAAAAGCCCAAGAATGTGACTCTCATCTTGGTTGGAAACAAAGCTGACTTGGACCACTCCAGACAAGTTAGTACAGAAGAAGGAGAGAAGTTGGCCACAGAGTTGGCATGTGCTTTTTATGAGTGTTCTGCCTGCACTGGAGAAGGGAACATCACCGAGATATTCTACGAGCTGTGTCGAGAGGTGCGTCGCCGGAGGATGGTCCAGGGCAAGACGAGGCGACGCAGCTCCACCACACATGTCAAGCAAGCCATTAACAAGATGCTCACCAAAATCAGTAGTTAGGCAGTTCTGTTTCTGCAAAAGCCCAACTGAAGTGGTTCAGGTAATTGGAAATACTTTCTTGCCCTTTTTCCCTTTTTAATCCCTCAAATGAAAATATTCTATTTCTTGTTCTGACTGTGGGAAATGTCTGGGCTTCCTCTTGTTTCCAGCCTCTTGTATGTTGAGAAATTACAAAGTGTTTTATGCAGTTTCAGTGCTGATAATTATTCCCTTTCCTGCTTGGATAAAATACACTTTATTGCGGTTTGAATGTGTAATCACCAGAGATTCTGAAGTAGCTGGGTTCATATTAAGCTATTTTTAGGCATCTTCACCTTGCTTCAGTAGGTTGAAGTCTTTTCGAAGGCATTTTAAAATTTCATTTCTTGGCAAAGACTACAAATGATCACTTTAGAAGTCTCAGATAATAGAAAATACGGTAAAAACACAGGAATTGTTGCTGAAATATTGGAGCAGGGAATAGAACCCTCGTTCCTATTTCAAGCAAAGATTTTTCTGAATTGTCTTAAATTGTCTAGTTTTTTCTTTAACCCTTGTTTTGTTCTTAAATTCAAACATGTTCTCACAAGGTTTTCCACTGTGTAAGAGAATTCCATTTCAATTTGAGTTGGTTCTCTCAAAGATCTATCGATCATTGCAATCTAATTCTTCTTCTATAGTTCCAACAAGATTTAATTACAACAGAGGCAGCAGGACCCCTCAATTCAGATCCTGCTAGTCCCTTTCTTACCAAACCTAGGGTGATGTAAAGACATTAGGAATCTTTTCACCAAACCCTGACTTTACTGAATGCTAATGAAGTATTTAGAATTAGAGATGACTGATTCATTTCTCTCTCTGCTTATCATCTTCGCAGAAAGACAACAGTCCAAAAAGCAGGAAAATTGTGCTTGCTTCAGCAGCACGTATACAAAAAGCGGGAAAATTAAATATGAAGCTTAACTACTCTTATATTGGGGAGCCAAGGCTCTGTGCCAGACATAGGAAGAAAAATTAGCCTCTTTATCATTAAGTTGATTATATGACTTCTAACATTTTGGACAAATTAATTCATTTAGGAGAATTCAGAAAAGAATGGATGATTAAAGTTCACTTTATCTAAGTAAATGTGTGTGAAAAAAAGATTCTTATATTGTGAAAATACAGTCTATAACTAATAAAACTTTATGATTCTTTTTTCCTTATTATGCCCCCATATATCAAGATTTGGGCACTTTATTTTAGAAGAAAATATATATCTTTTACATATGTGTGTATTTATAAATACATAGATATATGTATAAAAATTTGTAAAAGTTGGAGGCTTTAATTCAACAATGCATTTGGACAACTTGGTGTAACTGACTATTTTATGCAAATATAATAAAAAGCATAATTTTCACATTCTCTCACATTAGGATGATCTTTTTTGTGATAACATGAAATGCTTGTAATTTTAAGAGTTGACAAATCAGTGAATGTGATACAAAAAAATAAGCTCCAGTTGATAGTAACAGCTACTATTTTTGGAGTGGTTAGGTGCTATTTTAGGCACTTTCTGTATTATCTCATCAAATCTTCACAATAATCTTATACAAGAGATAGTATTATGACTACAGTTGTAGTGGTGAAGATATTGCGTCACAAGAAAAAATAAGTTTACGCAGCTATTTAGTGGGTAGAAACAGAGTTTTACCCAGAAAGGCAAAATCAGACCCTGGAGCCCATACTGATATCCACAGAATATTAATAGACTGAGATATGGCTCTTGTTCTTGATCTATGGGGATGAAGACACAGGAAAGAGAAAGTTTAGAAAAGACTTGGTTGCATTATGCTTTCTTTCATTCATTAACAAGTATCTATATATAAGCTGGACATATAACTTGACACAAGTTAGTTCATATGATTGTGTCTGAGCTGACCTTGAAATATATATGGAAGTTATTCGGAAAAAAAAATGGTGAAAATATTCTAAGCAAAAGGAATAGCATGAAACCAAAATATGGAGACAAAAAATGATGGTAAGTATGGTAATTAAAAGCAGTTTAAAGAGCCACATATATCATTCTTCAAGAAAAAAAGAAAAGGGAGAACAGTGGGAAGGAATTAAAAGAAAGAAAAAGAATAAGCGCTTTAGAAGTAAGAAAAAAAGGCAAACATTAAAACTGCACTAAATTTAGGTAAATATATATTAAAAAACCAAATAGGTAACTTAACTGTGATTAATTTTCAGTAATGTTCATTTAGAGAGGGGAGGGAAAATGAAAGCAGAGTAAAATTACTTTTTAAATGTTACTATCTTCTCTAGTCACAGTCTCTTTAATTCCTAAAGAGACATGATGAAATAAATGGTTGTCATCTTGGGTCAAATACTAAGGAAGTGAAATTCATAGTCACCTATACCAGCAACTTCCCTAGACATATGCATACAAATCCAGACCTGTTAAAAAATCATAGAACCACTGACTTAAGTCCCTACTGGTAATCACAGAAGAACATAAGATTGCTCTCATGCACTAGCTAGGCTTTTCCGCAAATGAAAGTTATAAACAGTTGTGGTTTTTTAAACAGTATTTTAATGATGGAAACCTGTGTAATCTTGAGTATTAATGATGGGTTTTTATCACCACACTACCACTACCGATGCTTGTTGTTTGTAGCTGCTTTCCTTTTCTTTTAAGATTCAAAAGATTCCGTTTCTAAATATTGTGTTTGTACTCATATGCCTCACAGCACTGAGGGAAGGAGTCCATAATTTGGAACCTCCCTTTTAAATAAAATGTGTAATACTTACATATATGTAAATAAACACAACATCTTATGTTCTAAGTGTAATAGCAACCACGTTTTCTTATTGAAACAGCCTATGCCCACTTTGAGGATAATAAGAAAGTAGCCAGTTCATTGGGTCAAATTTAATCAGAGTAAAGTTGAATTCAATTGTCCTGAGCCAATAACCTATTTGGGAGATTCTGAAAAAAAAAAAAAAGACAAATATATTTTCTCCATAAATTTGAAATGCTACATTTAGCAAATTCTGTATTCCCATAGATTTAGTTCTATTTTTATATTACACTATACTAATCAAGACAGCATGTTGGTTTGAGAAGAAACATATAGATCTATGGAACAGAATAGAAAGACCAGAAGCAGAACCACACTTTTGTCACATTGTGTCTTCAGCTTTCCAGATGGCTGATATGAAGAAAATGGAAAAGGGAAGTAATTTAGATTATTAATAATGAGTAAAAATGTGCTTTTCGATTGATTTTTGACAAAAACACCAAGAAAATTCAATGGGAAATGAATATTCTTTTATTCTTTTCAACAAATAATGCTGACACAATTTCATATCCACCTGCAAAACAAATAAACATCAACCCATACATCACATCATATATAAAAATTAATTCCAAATGGATCATTGACCTAAATATAAGAGCTAAAACTATAAAACTTCCATAAGAAAATAGGAGAAAATCTTCGTGACCTTGAATCAGGCAAGGATCTGTTAGAACACAATAAGCACAAATAAAAGCAAAATTAAAAATTTTTCATTTAAAAGGCTAAGAAAATGCAACAGCAAGCCAAGCTGGGAGAAAAATATGTGGAAAAACATATCTCATCAAGAATATATATCCAGAGTATATAACTCTTAGAACTCAATAACATAATATGGTTAAAATATTGGGCAAAAGTTTTGAGTAGATAATTCATCAAAGAAGATATGCAAATAGCAAATAATTACATAAAAATTTCTCAACATCATTAGACATTAGAGAAATGCAAATTTAAACCACAATGTACTACCAGTACACACCCAGTATAATGACTAAAATTCAAAATGACAATACTCACGTCAGTGAGGATATCTATATCCTGGAACTCTCATACATTGGCAGTAAGGAAAAATGATACAGTCGTTTTGTAAAACAGTCTGGCAGTTAATTATAAAGTTAAACATATATTTAACATACAACTCAGCAACACTGTTCCTAAGTATGTCCTAAGACAAATGAAAATCTATGTTCACGTAAAGACTTGTCTGCTAACATTTATAGTAGCTTTATTTATAATTGCCAAAAAACTGGCAGCAACTCAACTTTCCATCAGTGAGTGAATGAACAAACAAATTATGGTGTATCTTCACCATGAAATACTATTAAACAATAAAAAAAAAGGCAAAGTATTGAATGATTTTCAAAGCAGTATGCTAAATAAAAGAAGCCAGACACAAGATACTGCAAATGATAATATTCCATCTGTACAAAATTCTAAAAAAAGAAAACAATAGTAAAAACAAATCTGTAGTCACCAGAATCTGAAGGTAACAAGTGGGAATAGACCACAGAGAGGCTCAAGGAAACTTTCTAAGGTGATATAAATATCCTGTATCATGAGTGTTGTGGTAGTTACATGACTAAGTGCATTTTCTAAAACTAATCAATCAGTAAAATTAAAATTTATTTATTTATTCTATGAAAGAGTATTTTTAAGAATAAAAACCTCATTGTTTAGTAACCTAGGGAACTGCTTGATGATGCCTTCTTGGTGTTCCTTTATGATTTATGAGATCTATAAACAGTGTCATAAAAACTTTGGTCCTGTCATCCTCTTCATCTTCTCACTGCTTGGGGAAGCAAAAGGCTTATTGCGAAAAGCAAGGTAGGACATTGAAACAAATACAGGATATTGATTTCCTCTATTTCCTGAGCTTCTGAGTCAATCTATATAATTTATGTGTCTAATATTTGCTTTTAAATTGGCTTTTGGAATGCTGAATGCAATTTCTCTGGAAAACAAAGTTATAAATCATATTTAGGTTTTCCAACTAGTCCATAGTAACCTATTTAACCCATAACATAGCACGTTTCAAAAAGGAGAGATATATTTTCGGCATCCTTGCACCTCTCCTTTATCTCTCTCACATATACTGGTCCCCACTTCTCCCCACTCCTGCATCACTTGAACCCTTGCTTATATACTTTCTTTGGGGAGTGGGGCAAATTAGGAATTTTTAAAAGAAAATGATTGATAACAC